AGAATCAGCACTTCATCAGGTAATTACAAAGATTGAAGAGGCCATTCAAAACAAAGAAATATGTCTAGGTTCCTTCATAGATATAGAAGGTGCTTTTGACAGAACGAACTTCTCCAGCATAAAAGGTGCACTCAGTAGACATAAAGTTGAACCGGCACTGATTGACTGGATAGTTTGCATGCTCAGTACACGAATAGTAAAGATTGCTGGTGAATCTCAACCAATCCTAATTAAGAAAGGCTGCCCGCAGGGTGGGGTTCTCTCACCTCTCCTGTGGAATATGGTCATTAATGAACTCATCAGCAAATTAAATACTAATCACTTCTATACAGTAGGTTATGCTGATGACCTGACAATACTGGTCTCGGGAAAGACAGCAAGCATAGTGCGCGACCTGACCCAAGCGGCTCTCCGTATAGTGGAGAGATGGTGCAGGGAATACGAATTAACCGTCCACCCAAATAAAACGGTTTTAGTAATGTTCACACAAAAACGAATGCTGAATAACTATCATCTTCCAAGTCTTTTCAGCACAAAACTCCAGCTATCCTCTGAGGTAAAATATTTAGGTCTTACCTTGGACAGCAAACTTAACTGGAATAAACACATAGAAAACAAAATCAACAAAGCTAGTATAACTTTCTGGCAATGCAGAAACATGATTGGCAAAAGATGGGGACTGACGCCAAAAATCATACTGTGGCTTTACAAAACTGTAATTCAGCCCATGATCACATACGGCGCTCTGGTATGGTGGACCAAGACAAATGAAGCCACCACAATTAAGAAGCTTCAGCGCTACCAGAGACTGGCATGTATGGCTGCCACAGGCTGCATAAGAACTACGCCAACAGCAGCCTTGGAAGCGATGCTGGAGCAAACTCCGCTTCATCTACATATACAACAAGAAGCGACTTTAGCTGCCATCAGACTCAAGACCCTAAATCTTTGGAGTAAGAATAGTGTCCCTCATACAGGCATAATTGATAGAATTCACTCAGAAATTCCTATCCTACAAGCCAAATACGATAGAATTCCTAAACAATTCGTTTTCGATAAGAAATACAAGATATAATTAAATGAAAACAGCCAGCCGGAAGGATTAAGCCCAAAAGAGCTTAGAATTTTCACCGATGGTTCTAAAACAAATGAAGGTGTAGGTTCTGGAGCTTTCTCTGAAGACCTCAATATTCACATATGCACACCGCTGGGTACCTATAACACGGTCTTTCAGGCGGAATGTATGGGTATCATTCAAGCGGCCATAGCAATAGATGCTAGGAAGGTTAATGACTTCCCCATCAGAATACTGACCGACAGTAGGGCGGTACTACAAGCTCTGAGTTGCAATGGGGTGAACTCGGGACTAATATATGAATGCCATCAACGATTAAATGAGGTATGTAAAAACAACAATGTGACTCTGCAATGGATAAAGGGACACAGTCGATCCAGAGGCAACGATGCAGCGGACGAACTGGCCAGAAGAGGATCGGCTCTGGCCACTATAGGGCCGGAACCAATCATACCAATCCCCTTTGGTAACGTTCGTTCAATGGTACGTAGACACTTCACTAATCAACACGCTCAGCTTTGGAAAAATCTAGTAGACTGTAGACAAGCTAGGGAGGCCCTACCTGTAATAAACAGTCGCTTAATCAAAGTTCTAATAAGACTGAACAAGCCGCAGATCAGGATAATAACAAGTGCTATCACAGGACACGGCACCTTTAACAAACATTTATTTACTATAGGTGTTACAGATAGTCCCCTGTGCAGGGCATATATGGGGGAGGAAGAAACGGCGGCCCACGTGCTACTGAAATGTCCGGAGGTCGCTACGTACAGGGCTAAGCATCTCGGCACAGCCCGTCGCAAACTAACCTAAATATGTACGGCGAAAATTTGACTGTTGTCTTCCTCACCCAAGAACCTTGACTAAATGGTAAATTAATAAAGACTTGTTATTTATGTGTTATAAACCGGACGCGTATATGTTTTACTTCGTAGGTTTGATTGTACTCTTTGTTATAGGTATAGCTCCATTAACGGCGAACCCGGATTCACACAAGAATCGTTTGAAATGCTTAAACTCAAGAGGGACAGTATGTCAGAAAATGTTGAATGCTGTCTAATTTTGATGAGTGAACATTCGACAGGCCAAATTATGGAAAGGTGAAAGAAATGTTGGTCAGGTAGACATGGGGTATGAAAAAATTGACAAAGAAAAGAAAGCCACTAAAGCTTTTGTAATGTGGCTCGTTGGTGTTTCTGAAAATTAGAAAATACCAGTCGGTTATTTCAGTGGATGGTTTTACTAGTGAACTTATAGCAAATACTGTTAATATTTGTCTTGAAAAATGTAATTCCATCGGTGTCAATGTCGAAGCGCTCACATTCGATGGATGTTCTACAAATGTTAAAGCTGCAAACATTCTGGGTTGCAACATAAGTAGTACAGGTCAGGTCAGGTCAGGTCAACAAAAGTAAATATTGTTGTTTTCATGGACGCATGTCACATAATAAAGTTAGTAAGGAACGCGTTTGAAAAAAAAAAGATAATTTTCAACGAGAAAGATCAGCGAATAGAATGGAAATTTTTGATTCGGCTCTTAAAACTCCAAACAAACCAGCGGCTAAATTTTCCTAATAAATTAACCTACAATCACATATATTTTCAAAACCAAATTATGAAAGTTAAATTAGCGACTTAATTGCTAAGCCGAAGTGTTACACTCTGCAACGAAATATTACAATGTAGTTATTTTTCAGAAAGTAGTGCGACAGTTGATTTCATTAATTTATTCAATAATATATTCGATATTTTGGATTCTCGCAGATTCAATCAATCCGGATTGACAAGAGAGCCATTTCTCCAAAAAATAAAGAAAAAATATTTAATTTTATTGCGGAGGCTATTGGTTATATTAAAGGTCTAATTTTTTTTGATAATGTGAAAAGAAAGATTAAACAACATAACAGACCACCACGAATTATGATGATTATAAGAAAAAAAAAGTATTTTGGAATCTAGAAGCAAAATGGGATTCTTAGGATTGATTGTGTGCTTAGAAAGTTTAAAACTTTTACTTGTTTTACTGGAAACAGTATTCCTTTGGATAATTTTCCAATATCAATTGTCTAATCTGTAAATGCTATTAACTGTACCACTGAAATGAATCGTCATGCAGAAGAAGACAAGCCCATGGACACATCGACAGATATATATCAGGAGGAAAATGATGTAGTTTATTCAAATAACTGTACACAGTTATCGCATACTTATATGATATATCGGATAACCCAACTGAAAACGTCTTTGGGCACCTCACAGAGAATATAGAACTCATTACTGGGTATATTGCCGGATAGGTAGCCAGAAGTTTAAAAAAAAGATTAAGTGTGAAATTTGTGTAAACAGTCTGGTTAGTAATGAAAAATTATTCTTTCATAAACTGATTGAATTAACAAATATGGGCGGACTTTGCTTTCCTTCTCCGGACCTGTTTGATGTATGCCTAGAAACCGATAAAAATATAAGACACAATAATAGACCCCAATTTATGGCAAAAAGTGACTATGTTTCTGTCAACAAAAACTCTAGCTAAGTTTATACGAAAGAGCACTTTCAATGTTTTAAACTTGCACTCTGTTGATCAGCCGGCAACATTGAATCATAGATTGCATCTTATTTGAGCCATAATTAAGAAGTATATAAAAGTCAGAATGCATCACGAGTCTAACATGGAAAACACGGGGAAGGGAACTGAAAGACAAAGATTTAAAAAAAATGTTTTATTTAAAGGACATTAATTGTAATGTGTATAAAAATATCCAAACTTTTTCGTCTTTTATTTTCGGCTTCTTAAAATATTCTAATACTTAATTATTATAACATAATATTACATATAACAAATTTAACTTGTTTATAACTACAACTAAAGCTCTTTGAGATTAATTTGTTTTACTTACATTTTCTTTGTTACCTGTAAAATATCATCGCAAAAAGGAAATCGTTATATGTACTGACCAACTACGATAAAATGTGATAAAAAATCATGTATGCACATACAAAGTTATGTCGTCGATCTATGCAAGGCAGTTCTCACGTACAATACAGAAATTCTCGATATTGTAGGGTTAATGTTAAATAGTAAAAGGACCCAATAAATAATACAAGTCGGTTGACCTTAAAATAAAATTACGGTATTTTCGCCTAGATTTATTAAGATAATACACACTATAAAATAATGGAAAAATTGTATAATTATATTACGAAATCCGACCCTGGTTACGCCGTGTTATGAAGTTTGTATTATGACAGATGCGCTACTTTTTCTTGTATGAAAATGTTATGAGTAAATTACATATATGGGCCTATCCTTACGCTAGTAATATATAAGTCAATGCAACATCTATGCTGGATTAATAATCGAAATAAGACGTGTATCAAAGTAATATTTATATTATTTGCATTTTCATAATTTATTTACATTAAATCATAACTACAATAATGACAACAAAAAAACTAAAAATATAAATTCTTATACTGTGTATGGTGTAAGAATGTTGTAAGTATACTTATTATTGTTTCTTATACCACAAGTTGACACTGGATACTTAATCACATATAAACCCCATGGATCGAAAATGTTTACAATGTTTACCCTATATACAATGTTTACCCTATATAACAAATATCGTAGATATTCATATTCGTTATAGTTTAATCTCTGATACTACCTGGTCACTAAATGGTGTCTTATTGGCCATCGTTATTGTTATATTTTTAACAAGGATTTTAAAATTATATTATTGGTTTATAGGTTTTTTTCAGAGTTTTTCAAGGAATGATTTTTTTTTCAGAAGGCACATTTACTACTGTCATAACAGCTTGGCCAGATGTAGAAAATAGAAGCGTCTATGCAGACATAGCAAGAGTAGCAACCTATGTTATTTGGTGGCTATATGGGATTCGTGTATTAGCAACATATTTACTTATGACATTTTTAACGATTTGTCTGAGCTATCAGTATAAAAACTTGCAAAGTTATTTTTACAATCTCGAAAATATTTTCGATGAAAACGAGTTGAGCCAATTTGAAAAAGAGGAGAAGTATGAGAGATCTGTAAAAATTGGAATAAAACTGCATTCTGAAACAAATTGGTGAGTAATTGCTTAAATTAAAAATATTTTTACAATAACAGAGCACTCTATTACAATAATGTAATAAAAATATAATATATGGATAAACTAGGTAAACTAGTTGAGAAAAACTCGCCATAAGAATTGTGAGTAAATAATAAAAGATAGTAACATATTTCGCTGAGAGTTCTAAAAAAATTTTTATAGGTGAGGGCAAACGACCATAAGGTTCACCTGATGTTAAGTGACTACCGCCGCCCATGAACAACTGCAGCACCAGGGGAATTGCAGGTTCGTTGATGGCTTTTTAGAAAGTAGAAAGCTCTTTTCTTGACGGTCCCTAGGTCGTATTGGTCCGGAAAAATTGCCGGTGGTAAACTATTCCACAAAGAGGTCGTAAATGGAAGAAAACTCATAGAGAATCGTACAGTGGTGGACCGCCAAGCATCCAGATGGTGTGGATGGTATCGGAAAGTTTGCCGCGTAGTGCATTCATAAAATTTGGCGGCTGGGATTAATCCTAAAAATTCTACAGAGCACTTCCCGTGGTAGATGTGAAAGAAAATGCAAGGAGATGGAACATATCTTCGCATCGCCAGCGAATCGAGCCGATTAAAAAGCACTAGGTCGTCGACGATTTGAGCTATTCTCCACTAGATGTGTTCAAGTGGAAGGAGCTAGCACTGAGGAGCCTCAGCCCAGAGATGGAAACAGTATTCCATGTGAGGCCAAACTTGCGCCTTGTAAAGTTTCAGGCGGTGTGCCGGCATAAAATACTGTCCCGCTCTGCTGAGCACGCCAAGCTTTTTAGAGGCCAATTTGGCCTTCTCCTCCAAGTGACCACGAAAATGCACGTCACTCGATATGTCGACGCCGAGGATTCCAATACTGGTTGATGCAACAAGATGAGTGCCTTGTTTAAGTTGAAACTGAGGAGATACGGGATTTTGAGGGGATATGGGATTCTTTTTAGTGGTTAATGCGCAAACTTGACACAAGTTTGTGCGTTAACCGGTTTGCAACTTATCATTGATATGCAGAAGAAACAGCATTGGTGATAGCACGCATCCTTGTGGAACCCCAGCTTTAATAGGCTAGTAGTCGAAGAATGTACCGTCTACAACGACCTTGATAATCCGATCTGCAAGAAAGCTGGTGATCCAATTGCGCAATTTCTCGGGAAGCCCATAGGAGCCGTGGTAGCTCAGTGGTTAACGCTCGCTGTAAATATAACAGAACGCGAGTAACCCGGGTTCGATCCCCACCGGCACCAATGAAATTGTTAATTGCAATTTTAAGTGCTGATTTACCACGTGCTCGGCGGTGAAGGTAAACATCGTAAGGAAAACATGTGAAGTTCGTCAACACGCATTGGGGCAGCGCGGCGGACACTTCCTTGCCCTAAACCCTTTCAGAAATGAGGGGAGGCCTGAGCCCAGCAGTGGGACGTATATAGGCTGTAACTTTACTTTACTTTACTTTACCATAGGAATGGAGCTTCGAAACAAGCGCTTTGTGCCAAACCCGATCGAAGGCCTTCGCTATGCCAAAACTAACAGGCAATGCATCCCCCTTGGACTCTAATACCTCCTCCCATCGATGAGTCGGGTAGACCAAAAGATCACCAGCTGATCGACCCCAACGAAAACCGTATTGGCGGTCACTTATCAGCTAGTGATCCTCAAGGTACCCCATGAGCTGACAGTTTATAATGGATTCCATTATTTTGGAGAACAAGGGGGTGATGGTGACAGGCCTGTAGTTTGACGGATCTGAGCGGTTGCCTTTTTTAGGGAATGGGTGGACGAAAACCTTCAGTCATCGAGAGTCAAGTTGGACGCGAAACGAGAGCCTACCAGATCGGCTTTCTCCTTTGCGGCGTGGGCCTGTGATCTCTGTGCAGAGATGAAAAAGGTGGCTAAAAAAGCAAAGAAAGATGGTTGATTATGGAAAGAGTGTTGCACCACATACATTAAACTGAAAAATCTTTTAGAGACTGTTGAACTTAAAGCAATATCCATAATACCAAAAAGTGTAATTGTAAATATAAAAAAATAATTATGCTAATAGTAATATCGAAACGTGGTTCTATAAATTGATGTTACTCGTAAGAATGTCCTATTACTGTTATGTATTATTAAAGATGTAAGGACACAAAAAACCGTGATTTTGTAAGAATATCCACTACCCCAAATCATTCCGTGGGTGTCGTAAGAGGCGAAAAAGGGAAGAAAGTTAGTAGAGGGGCAGTTTGTTCTTAATAACATTTCAAATATAAAATTTGATCTTATAAAATACAGCACAATAAGAACTTCAATGATACCTTTAATTCCTTGGTTCATACATGTAGATGGCGTGTAGCTATCTTGTCAAATACTCAGAACAGGACGAAATTTACCTATGAAGTTTGACAATTAAGGCAAGTCTTTCCTACAAAGGGAGAGGTTATTATTCAGCAGTAGGCTACATGTGCTGGTGATGATGATAATGAATATACTATCGCATCCCCCCTTTTCAGCTTGCATCACAATACTAGATGTCTGGAACCTATAACATCTTCGTCTATCATAATCACAGACATCGTAATAATAAGACACTAGAAATGAATTAGCGCTCGATTACTTCCAAAACCGATGTCGCCACACCTTACCGTATTATAAACATACGCAATGCACAATGATATCTAATGTTTCATATTACATTGCTTGGCGAGTTTGTTAACGTCGCATGTGTCGCGTATTACGGTAGAATAAAAGCAGCAATGGTAATTGTACAATACTAAAAATAAAAAATAAGTTTGCAAAGGTAAATGTATGTCGTATTCATCTAGATGTAAAATAATTAAAACAATGATAATAAGTAAATAATCATCTTACTGGTGAAATGTTATGCATTTATCAGTTTAATTTTTAATTTAAATTTAGTTTAATTTAAACACGTCCTCGATGGGTTTTTACAACTGATTATGCTGCAGTGCACCATTATAAATTTATAATGACAAAAATTCACGTACACAACTAAATTACAAAATGGTGAATTATGTTTGTCAACCCATATAAGCGGCTACAAGGTCACGCATCTATGCGACTTCAATTGTTTTTTTTTTTTTTTTAATAATAATGTCTTTATTTATCCTCTCACATAACATAAAGTAAAACAATGTAAATCTAGTAGTACATATACAGAATTCTATTATGTGAGAAGCTGGTGCCTGAAGTAGGCATATATAAGCCTGTAGTAAAAGTCACCAGGTTCCCACCCTCGAATGCTATGACATTGAATGAAAATTCATATTCTAGGAAAACAATAGATAGATAGATAAACAAAGGAATTCTTATATTATTTAAAATTACAGCGAATATCCAGGATAAAATACTAATTAAGAGTGTATTATGATATAAAATGTATAAATACATATATGAATGTATAGTACTATATATTTATGTTCGTGTAGTGTAGTGTATAGTTTGCGCATGCACGCACGCGTGCATGTGTGTGTGTGTGTGTGTGTGTGTGTGTGTGTGTGTGTGTGTGTGTGTTTGTGATTTTGGGTGTGTGTGTGTGCGTACATTATATTTATCTTGATAGGAGCGATTCCGTTAAATCATAATCTAATTTCAGTAGCCAATCATGTACGTTTTTTTTGCAATCATATTTATTTTTAGAATATATAGATAGCTTTTCATTTATTTTATTGTATAAGAATCCACCCATGTAGCAAAAGAATTTTTTTGTATATGTCTTCTTTGTTGAATATATTGCACAAACTGTGTTTTTACGTCTAACTCCTACAAATTTATGGCGATCATAAGTAATTCCACTGTGTTGCTTCAACAAGATATAGAGAATAAACAGCTGACGTACCGTTAGTACCTGCCAGTGTCGATAAAGTTCAGTTGGATGTCTATAAGAGAAGAATCCGCAAACTTTTAAAATGGCCCTTTGTGATATTTCTACGCGCTTCATACTTGTTTTAGGAGCACCGCCCCACGAGGTGATGCAGTAAGTAAGAAGACTTTGCGCTAGGGCATAGTAGATACGTGTTAAAGCTGTCTTATCTAGCACATGGCGTACATTTTTGAATATGTATATTAATTTAGATAGTCTATTGGATAATACTTCGATATGATTTTTAAAAGAAAGGTTGGAATCTATTATTATACCAAGATACTTAATGTTATGGACTAATTCTATTTTGTTACATTTACATGATTTTATATTAATATTTGAGAGACATTTGTGTGAGATCAGTGGTTTATTGATAATATGATCAAGGCGTTCTTTACGTATTGTGAAAGCAATATATTTGGTTTTTTCAGAATTCAAGGTAAGAGAATTACTTTGCAACCATTCATTAATCAAATCAAGCCCCATCTGGGCAGCATCCTGAACAGCTTCCCAGGAATTTGTAGAAAAAAGAAGGCATGTGTCATCAGCATACGATATTATATGTCCATAAGGAAGCTGAGTAGAAGTGAGATCGTTTATATAGACGAGAAATAATGTGGGACCTAGAATGCTGCCTTGGGGCACACCGTAGGTAATTAATGCCTCGTGACTAATGTAATCTCCGATTTTAGTACATTGTGTTCTATCACATAGATAATCTTTAAATAGAGCAAGTTGCTTTCCTCTAATACCACATAATTCCAACTTTTCTATTAGAATGCAGGTAGACACAGTGTCAAACGCCTTGGCGAGATCCAAAAATATTCCAATAACTTTATTATTTTTGTCCAAATTTTTAACTACGTAATCTGTTAAGTCGTGCACTGCTTCATCAGTGGATCTGCCCTGCCGAAAACCAAACTGGTTAGGGGATAGAAGTTTTTTACTTTCTAAGTAGTTCGTGAGTTGTTTGTTTATAATTCGTTCAATTATTTTCGAAAAACATGGAAGAATTGAGATCGGTCGATAGTTGCCGACATTTTCTCTGTCTCCAGATTTATAAATTGGATGAATAATAGACCGTTTAAAAACTTGAGGAAATACACCTTCATTAAAACAAAGATTACATATATATGTCAATGGCCCAACAATATATTCTTTAATTTTTTTTATAAAACAGTTAGAGATATTGTCCCATCCATTAGCACATTTGTTTTTTAGGCTCATGATGAGTCTGGAAACTTCTTCTTCGTCAGTTTCGAGTATTACAAAGGACGACGTACAGTTCTGTATTGATCTAATTGCTAAAGAACTTGTAACCCTTTCCTTAACTGCAATATTATCAGCAAGTTGTTTACCTACATTTAAAAAATAATTATTAATTGAATTGATAGCCTCTTGAGGTTTCTTCGCGCTGTTAAGCAGTTCGGTGGAATCAGTTTTCATTTTCGTGGTATTTGATATCTCTTTAATGGTTTCCCAAAGCTTTTTATTATCTTTACCTGCTTTACTAATTTTATGTCTATAATAAGCCATTTTAACTTTTTTAATCATGGAGTTACAATAATTTCGATATCTAGTATATGTTATTTTTATGATATTATTGTCAGGAAAAGATTTATATTTTTTAAATAAATTATCACGATTTCGTATACATTTTAAAATTCCTACTGTAATCCAGGGTTTAATAGGTCTTAAGCGGTTCGAAATTGTAGCTTTAATTGTATTCGCTATTAATAATTGTTGGAAATATGATACAAAAAGTGTAGCAGCCTCATTTGCGTTAGAACATTTGAATACAAAATCAAAGTTATTTTGTTCTAATTCTAGTTTAATTTTGTCATAATCAATTTTTGTTCGAGTTCTAGATGTTAAATTATTTTTTTGCTTGGTGTTTAAACATAATATCACAGCTTGATGGTCAGTTACCGTCGAATTACACACTACTGTAGTGGCTGCCATAGTTGACCGCATCATAACGTGATCTAAACAAGCATTGAGCCTAGTAGGCATATTATGAGCAGGAAGAAGTCCGTGAAATGCATTTAGATTAAGATACTCAGTTGATCTGTTATCCGTTGTATAATTTGCTATATCTATATTTATATCGCCCATCACAGATAAGTTTTTATGGGAAGACAACGACGTAAGAATTACATTTAAAGATTGTAAAAACAAGTCTACATTTTGAAAGCTAGGCGAACGATAAATTGCAACTATAGCAATACTTTTGTGTTTTATTACCACACAGTTTCCTTCAGAAAACATGGGTTCCGTAATTAAAACCCCAATATCATTTTTGTAATAAATTACGATACCATCATTTTGGTTATAGGTCTTTATAGACTTGTAATATGTGTAGCCAGGTATTTGTGGTATTATGGAATTACACAATAGCCAACACTCGGTTAAAATAATAATATCACATTGTATTCTAATTTGCGTTAAAAGAACTAGGAAGTCATCTATATTACGTGAGATACTGCGAATGTTTTGTTGTATTATTGTGAGGCATGTACTTTCGTCAATATTTAATAAATAGAAGTTTTGTGTATCGCATCTCGCCGTATCCGATACAGTAACATTGTCAACATTCTGTGTAATTTCATTTAAATTATTGAATTTTATAAAGAGATAGCTGCTTATTCCAATCAATTGATGCCGATATATTATACATAAGTAATGAATATTGTGTAAAAAATAAACCAAAGTATATTATTATAAGAAAGTAATAACGAATTTTAAACACAAAAAGTCTAAAAATACTAAACAAGGTTAGATGCACTATTATTTTGTTGAAATTCCTAATTTTTTTTATTTTATTAAGTAGTAGGTAAGATGAAAGTGCATGCCTTATATAATTTGCGGGTATAGTAACCAATGGACGCTCTAAGATATACATTAGCAGTTTATATTCCACCAAAAACAATCCAAGACTTACGAATGCAATATACTGCTTAACACAGGGAAATTTATTTATAACCACAATAGGTAATAATACATTTAGAGTAATGAGAAGCATTTCAAACGATTGGGATATTGTGATAATTATTCGTATTGTTTTATGGAAATATTTTTTTATTGGTCTTATAATTATAGTCAAAGTCTGTAAAGCACGACAATAACACATGGATTTATAACGAATACCAATTATTGTCTTCAAATTATTATCGCAAAAAACTAATATTAAGTATGGGAATTCAAATATAATTTGAAAGAAGGTGTAGTATATTTTAATAACACAAAGTACTGTTTTTTTATTCACTCCATCGTAATAAAATGTAAGCATACGTTTGATTTTGTAAATATAATTAAATTTTTTATTGTCTGTAAATATAATAGGCAGAAGTTTATGTTTTATGCGTAAAAAGTATGAATGTGTGTTGCATTGTAAAATATAATATATAATTATGTTAATAAAAGTAAAATACAGAAAAAGCATGCAAAAGTGTACCATCTTATACTCGTATATAATAGACCAATCAGAAAATGGAGCAATATTTATTTTGTTCACTGAGCCTAGTCACTTCAGTCTGTTTAAGTCTTCTTCCGAATCGATTTTTATGGACGGCAAGCCATCTATCTTCCTTAGAAAAATTTTTCCGTATGAGATCCAGCATCTGTTATAATTATTAGTCTTAGCAAATTCTTTAGCAAGGTGAAATAACCGCCTAGCTTTGGCAGTCAAAGCTTCGCAGACAAATATTGGCCGTGGTGGTCCGTCGAATTGTAGGTGTTTAGAAGAAAGTTTCATATCCCGGTTTTGTTTATTAAATGATTTTACTGAGCGAATTATTGACTCCTTAATGGAGGTGGTATTCAACCTTGCGATTATGGGGGTATCCTCTTTAAACTTGGATTTTATACGGTAAATGTCACAGATATCGTTGTCCTCGATTGGCTGATTAAGGGCTAAGCCAACATGTTTCAATAATTCACAAAGAGCCTGTTTATTTTCGAATCGCATCTTAGGTACATTTCTAATTTCGATGGTGGAGGCAAGAGCAGAGCGTTCCATAAGTTCTATCTTGTTTTCGAGAAGTGTTATTCGAGACTTACATCCTTCATTCTCCTTATGTAGACTTTCCATTTTTTTTAGAACATTATCATATTTAGCCGATAGAAATTCAATAGATTTCTGAATTGCGTAGTTCTGTTCTCCGATTTTTTTCAGTGTATCACTAAATGTCTGAAATTTGTAGTCTTGTTGCACCTGCATGTCGGCAATCATTTGTTTCATCTCTTGCATCACAGAGTTATCCGATAAATTATCATCAAATTTTCTTTTAATTCGTCGATTATAGTTAACATTTGAGAGCTGCCCTTCATCTTTTTCAATGCTAGTCGTGTTAAGCGCAGAGTCAGATAGATAACGCGTAGGAGAATTTTCTGTTGCGATGCATGGTAGCATGCTAGGAGGAGTCCTTTGAAGTGACATTATACAGAAAGTAATGTTATAGGCCTAAATGAATAGCGGACGGCACTGCAGTGTTACTGTATAGGTGTATTTATATATATCCAATGGATAGTCCTAACAAATATACGTGTAATGACAGTCAGTCAGTCGCACGATATTATTGGCTATCAATTAACTTTAAACGTCTAAACACAGTAAAATATCTCCACACTTCTTATACTGTCGTCAGCTTACTCTCTCACACACAGCGTTTCGCTTCCTTAATCTTCAGCGCTCCTAGTATTATACACTAAGCGATTCGAATGTCACCGCTTACTCGTGCACTTTTTTTGCATTAATAATAAATAATGTTGTTTCTCTCACCTAGTAATGGGCGGATCCAAAGTTGACGTATTTCTTCATCGGTTTTGTTGTGGCGCGGCAACAATACGTTTCTATCTATCTCCTTTGCCCTTGCGCTTATAAATATTGCATTATTCACCTTCTTACGTACCAAAGTAATCTTGTTTAACAAGTGACATCTTCAAGTTTATGCACTTCTATTTTTCTTGTGTAAATAATATTTCACAAACTTTTAATAAAATATGAATAACAATACAGAAAACACGTCAATATCATACGACATCCGAGAGCGAGAGATTTTATTATTGTATTGTAATTGTTTTATTATTACGATTTCTGTGATCGTAACCATCGGTCTAAATATTTGAAATACTTAAGATTTCTTTAACTCCATCTATCGAAAATCACAAAACTTCCTTGGTTATTACAATCTTTCAAAATTTTCCGTAGTTTAACAACATCCATTTGACAGGTGGAGCGATGGATTCTCTTAAGCCACAACCAAAAGCAAAAAAAAATATATAAAGTAAGAGTTTTGGTGTATAGTTTAATGTATCACTATATATAGATCTTGGTATATATGGATAATTAATTTAATGGTATCACCAATGAACATGGACAAAACAAAAATCATGTTTAATGTCCATGCCTCACCTATGCCGGTAGTTGTTGGGAGTACTATGCTCGAAGTTGTTGACGAGTACATTTACCTGGGACAAATAGTCCGACTAGGTAAGTCCAACTTCAACCGAGAGGTCAATCGACGGATTCAACTCGCCCAACGGATTAGTAAGCTGAAGTGGCAATGGGCCGGCCATATAGGTCGAAGAACCGATAACCGATGGGGAAGAAAGGTTCTCGAGTGGTAGCCTCGTACCGGTAGGCATAGTGTAGGGCGACCCCCCACTAGATGGAGTGACGACCTGGTAAGACACGCAGGAAGTCGATGGATGCAGGTGGCTTAGGACCGTGCTTTGTGGCATTACTTGGGGGAGGCCTATGTTCAGCAGTGGACTTGTGAAGGGCTGTGATGATAATGATGATGATGATATCACCAATTAGACTACCTGCATACTGAGACTCCTACACTATGTCAATCGTATTTGCTTCCTTTCAGGTGTGTAGACAATACTCAAAAGGTCTTGGCCCTTGTTTTTAACGGCCAAATAATGATCAATGTTGTCGTAATTTGTACGGTTATGCTACAGATGGTGGTAAGTACCTTCTTCTTTTTATTTATAATTGTAACAGTGATAGCTGGACAAAGGCCGTTCCGCTTGTAGGAAAGATTTGTTTTAACTATCACGCTTGAAAGGCGGATCGACGGTTGCAACAACAGATTTTTCGCACCTTTGACATCTGCTACACCATTCCGAGCGAGGCGTGGCAAGTCTTTATTTTGTAAAATTGAAGTGGCAAATAAACTTGCAAACTATTGGATTTTACGTGGCTACTGCAGTCTGTAGACACCTGCAGCTAACTTAAAAAAACATACACGTTGCATTTAAATTAAAAAATAGCCTTATTTGTTTGAAATTGATTACAGGTTTCTTAGTAGACTTGATACTTTAGTAACATAAAAATTGCATCAAGACTTTATATTAGCTTATACTTTATAATTAGCTTAGCTTAGGGTAATCGCTACGCCTGTTATGCGTATTTATGATCACAGCTTATATTTTAAATCTCGTATCAATATGAGCTTGTTGTACTGCCATTTATCTGGTGTTAATATTAAGGCAATAGTTTATAGCCGCTTCTATCACTCTCAAGGGATGAGAATAGGTAAACATTCTCCTTGAGTTTTAAGTTTTATTGCAACCATTACACGTCGTGTTTACTTTATCTATTTATTAACTGTTTTATAGAACTCCGAGCGTACTATAAGTAACGCCCTCGCAACGATCACAGCGGGTGCAGCTTGTTTAGTATGCACTGGCTTTTTTATGTGGAATGCTGGAGATATCACTGTGGAGGTTTGTATTTTATTATCCTTTATTAGGTTTTTATTTCATTTGCCTAAAACTAAATATTTAAATGCTCTATTACTATGGCGGTGATCCCAAACAATTGTCTTACACATTTAAGGTTATAATTTAATAAAAAAAATTCTATATCCACATTCAAACTTCTGCAGTAGAACTAACTTATTTTAAATCAACCGTAAGAAATTCCTCGTTACTAATAAATACATCACATCTATCTATATTAGCAAATTGAATTTATAGTAATATCAGAGTTCACCGTATTAAAATATGTTGGTGTAGGTTGTAATTCCCACACTTGATGATATATGAAATAAATGATATAAAGTTGCTGTGATATGATATATTTGATATGATATTATAAATGATAAAGTAAACGGCTGCTTGATATGATGCTTGAAGTGCACTGCCCGCCGAGTACTGGCGCGTAAAAGTGTTGTGTTATTAAGACTGCTTAGCTGGCATGAAATATGTACGTTTCACCGTAGAGTTGGTTCTAGTTTACTCTGACTACTCTATCTCAGCGGTGTACCGTTGGTTTTAGGCTGCATTTTAAAACAGTGTGACTCTTTCCAATAGAGCTATAGGAGGAAAACAAGGGGTGTAAGGGTAAGTAAGTAAATATACGTACGTATAGTGGACTCTTTCTACTAATTATGTACGAGTAAGAGGTGTGTTACGATTATAGGATAGGCAAGCGCGATGCGGGTTGGTGGAGAAAGCTGCTACGATTGTGGATGCGTCGCAGATGTTTTGTATGTATACCTCAGCGTGGCCAGATTTTGTAGATTTCTGCTTTTTAGTAAATTTAGCTGCTTCAAAAATATATCTTCGTAGTAGATAATGATATGGTAATTACTGTCCGTTGCTGAAATAGGTCGGAGCGGCCTCGTGATACGTTGTAGTGATGAGTAGTTTTATTCAATGTTTAGTGATGAAGTTAGTAATTGAGCTTAAAGTAAAGTTACAGCCTATATACGTCCCACTGCTGAGTACAGGCCTCTGGATTCTGGATCCTGGATTTCTGAGAGTGTTTTAGGTCAAGAAAGTATCCGCCGCGCAGCCCCAATGCGTGTTGGCGAACTTCACATGTCTTCGAAATATTTATTGTTCTTATTCCTCAGACATGCAGGTTTTCTCACGATATTTTCCTTCACCACCGAGCACTTGGTAAATCAGCGCTTAAAATTGCAATTCAAAATTTCATTGTTGGCAGCGGGGATCGAACCCGGGTTACTCGCGTTCTGTCATATTTACAGCGAGCGTTAACCATCTGAGCTACCACGGTTCTTAATTGAGCTTGGACATAGTTATTTATCGAATGTTTTGTTTCATAGCGTAATAAAATCTAAATTTCAACTTAACAGGCAGGGTCCCTAGGTACAGCAATGTACAGCTCGGGATGGGAGAACTGCCAAGGAGACTGCTCGGTACGAATGAGACGTTTGCTGCTATTTGCAATGACGCAGAGCCAGGTAATAAATTTTTAGTTACAGTCTATTAACGTCGGTGACTACAGTCTTCCTCCATTGGAATATAAAACGCCTTCCATGTTTTATTTCTTACGACCCTTTTCTCGTGTTTTAATTTTACAAAACTTAAAATTTGTTTTACAATAATTAATCCCTAATCCTTTACCGTGGCGGTTTTTGCAAATACGGTCCATTATTAGAGAGGTCCGCCCTTTTGTAACCATATAGACACAAAAAACATCTAATTGACATCGTTATGGGAAATATAATACCTTTACCACACTTTTCTGTTGTCTAAGGATGTGTTTTTATCTTTATAAGAACGACCAAATTGGCTCTTCACAGTATGGCATATAATAAACAAGTATTTTTTCGGCTTAGTAATTAATAAACAAGTATCTTTCGGCGAATTTTGCGAAGAAGAGCATGAGCTATGCTACATGTATGAAATCCATATGTTATTAAACGGGCCGGTTAGAAGCCGTTCAAAGCGCGCTGTACTTAATCGTCCTTCAAAACAAACGCCATGCGCGTAAAATTTCACAACTGGTCTGACATTAGCTTTATGCGCTCGTAACATTAATACGTGGTAGCATAACATAACATTTTAATACGTGGTAGCACCACGCTGCAGCTTTATAATGGTTGTAGTATGAATGGGTCTGCTCGATCGGGGTAGGACTAGGCTATCACACAATACTGTGATTGTAGGGAACTGGAGATCGTAAATCTCGCGACAGGCTTATAATCATATAAATTGTCTAACATTATAAATTTATGGTGTTGATTTAATTTAAAGTTTATTTTCTTCTTTTTACAGCATTTAAATAAGAACTTGTTTTTAAAAATGTTTACTTACTATTAATTCATTTTTAAATTACTCTTCTTTTGGGTACAAAATTTTGATAAATTTATTTAACGCATTTTATTGGAATTACAAATTTATTTTGTTAAAAAAAACTATTCTATACACCACAAAAACTAAAAGTTATTGTTACAGAAACCAGTGGTACTGCGTAGCTTCGGTATTGTAGATCTTTCTTACCAGTCGTTCGTAACGGTAAGTTTATCTTTAATTTTTCACATCAGAAGCAATAAATTTGATAACTCGACAGATACTGCAGTACAGACAGCAGGACAGGATTATTGCGCACGAGCGTGTGCGTAAGCACAGGTGCCGTTTCACTACTCTTACTCTTATAGTCCGATAGTGCTACCGCACTATCCAACAAGACCCGAAATAGGTTAGGCGGAAGATGATCGGCTTCACGTGCTTTAAACATCGCCAACTTTCTAACTCCGAGCTGTTAAGGCGAATTCATTATTAAGTAAATAAAAAGAATTAAGAAAATAAAGTTGTATAATACTTGAAAGAAAACAGTTTGCAAGTTGGTAAAGGTTTGGGCAGATACCTCCACATCTTACTTGTATGTATACCGTTAATTACCCGGTTTAAGAGATAAATAAAAACATTATATTTACACCCATTTAGGTATTAATAAGAAATTGCTTTAATAGGAATATTAATGCCCCCCAGACCTAATTTCGGTAATGATGACCAGTCTCTAGTGCATGATTTAAATAAGCAAGCACAGGTGTACTTTCATAGTTTGAAAACAGGCGCAAAATAAACGTCTTTACGTGATGAAACACATGCGGTGAAACCAGTTTGCTGAATCCGAGCTGCTACTGAAAGTTTCTTGAAAGATATACCTAAAACCAATGTTTTGGCCTGATCCGGAAATTCAACCTTTCAGAACATCAGTAGTCACGCTTGCGATCACTAAATTAACTAGGCATTCAACAGTTTTGAGTGTTTTGAGTTTTGAGGGCCTTTATTATAGTGCTTAGGAGTGACAACGCATCTGTTACATTCTTTCTTGAAAGTCAGGGCTGACGTACAGCTTGGACAGCATGTCATGTATTGACCACGTATTTTACATGGTTACACTACTTTACAATTTACTTGGTTATACCTTTACGATATGTTTAATTTGAAAGCTATTATATAATTTAAAAAATGTAAGCAATACGATTATTTAAATATTAAATGAATGTAATGTTGTATTGTTTTTCCTTAATAAGCAATTTATTTTATTACATATATATTATACCTTATTGTGTTGTGTTTATTTTTTCAGATTGTCAAAACTTCATACTCCGTGTTTTCATTATTACAATAAACTCACAAAGTAAAGCAACGTGGAGAATAATCATTAGTAAAACAGGTAAAGACAAACATAGTAACACAAATTATCAATTTAAAATTAATAATGAATTGACTAGATCAAATCAAGAAGTCGCTACAGTGTTTGAGAAATATTTCACTGATATTTCTATTTTTAAAACAAAGTCATAGAATAGTTCTCCAACTGTCGCCGATTCATTACTCAAACAGAATGTTAATACCTGTTTAAAAGAATTTAGATTTGAAAAAGTATTATCACAAGATTTTACATTTTTACAATTGTAAAATATTTCAAAACCATTGTTGTAAATAAAACCGCAGATTTATGGGAGATTACCGTTACAATTATTGCGTCCATAATAGTTTTAATTGCACCTAATCTTGTTATTATTTTTAATACTATTATCGAATCTGGTATGTTTCCCGTTTTATGAAACATAGTAAAATAATACCTTTATTTAAATCTGGTAGTACATTGGACCCCGCAAATTTAAGACCCATTTCTGTACTACTTCATCAACTCTCAGTAAAATTTTTGATAAGATAATTTTAGATCAATTGTTATTTTTTTTTTAATAAAATATAAAAATCAATTTGGTTTCACAAGGAGTCGCTCAACGACTGATACAGGTGTCGAGCTTATGAAATATATTTTTCATGCCATGTAGAGTTCACAAGACACCTCAGACAAAAAAAGACAACTCAAGACATCTTTTATTTTTATCATGAAATATTAATCAGGAAACTACAACATTACTGTCTCAAAAATATTGCGTTTAGACTTATGATTTTATATTTAAATATCATAACTCAAAAAGGTTTTGCTCAGAGCTCAATTCTTGGCCCATACTCAATCAACAGTCAATTAATTTTGACAATGTAAGTAATGCTCTATCGAAACTAGTATATTGGTTTAACGCTAATAATTTGATCATCATGTCAGCATCAAGTTTAATACATTTCATCTAATTATACCTAATTTTCAAATATCAGTGTGCTCTTAAATGGGGAAGAGTTCAGTGGTTTATCCACAAGACCACTATTTTTCTTGGTATTACGAGTACTATTGACGCAAAACTTCAATGGGGCCCCACATATCTAAATTAGCAGGCAGACTTAGTTCTGCAGCATATGCTGGGTTTCTTGCTGGTTCTTCCCAGGACAGAGGATTTTTTCCAAATCAGTGGTAATTAAAAAAATACTTTCAATAAGTATTAAACAATAATCTATATTAAATAAAAAATCATTCATTTAATTTTATTTTAACTCTTAGTAATCGAAAGATTATGCAAAACTATTGTTATATTGCTAATTGAGTTTTTATTAAAATAGTGATCTTATATAATTTGTTATGTTTAGATGCATTCTCTGAGTTTTATTATAATATTTTTTACTATTTTTTTTTTCATATATTTATCATTTTAACAATCATCATCACCATCATTAACATTACAGCACATTACATGTCCACTGTCCTGAGCCACCTAAAATATTAGTTTATGATTTGAAATAAATGTATTTCTTATACATAATAAACTAAGGTTTTGTCTGTTAAATTTTTTTTTTTAAACCCACATCCGTCGGTTTCCTGCATCTCGTAAGACAAGGTCGTCAATAAATCCAGTGGGGAGCTCTATACTTTCACTTGCTTCATAGGGAGGATCAGGGGGGGGGAGGGGTCCCCGGGAGAGGGGGGGGGGGGGGGGGGGTTTGATTTTTGAAATCTTAATAAGTGTGTAGTGGCTACTACACTGCATGGAAGCCTCCAGCCCACCTCAAACAAAGAAGACTACAAATATGTTGTCACCTCTGATGACTAACTGTAATAATATTAGCTCTCTGAAACGTGTAGACCTATCAGACGAGAACACGGCAGCGCATGCATTACTTCTTGGCAGAAAAAGGTAAGAGGACCCAGAAGGAACTCATAAGGGCTCCAGGGAAGAAAAGGAGTCCTATCACATTGTTTATAGAATAACTGTGACTAACGAGCATACAATCCTAACACGTAGTAAAACATGTGCCATGGTTGCCACGCTTGGCAGGCGGCTTGGCAACCGAATTTCTTTATTATTATTGTTGACTAGTGTTCTTGAAGATACTGCTGCCCGTGCTCATCTACTGTTTCATTTTCCCCCACATATCACCCAATTATGTTTCATAAGCAAAACTTATATGTTAGGTGACTGCTCGAGAGTTCAACATAAGGACACCGGCGAAATATCAGCGCTGTGGTTATCTTACCGCAGTATTATTCTGAGTCAGTTACCTTTTTTATACTATATATGCGATAGAGCCACGCTGTATTCATTGTTGAAATTTCTTCCAACAAATAATAATCAAATTGCAGGTGTGATGTTAGCACTGAAAACAGGATGCCTCGTTTCCAGTAAAAAGGTTCTCCAGACATCCTCTCTACACATTATACGAAACCTAACAGCATTAAGCTGCTATTTTAAGCTGGTACTCTGTAAGAGCTTGGTCCTTCTCTGGTCGAGCAAAGCCATACGTACTAAAACCATATGGCTGCATCATTACTCTACCACAACCCTAACTGCTTCAAGACATGTTATTCAGTCGTTAAACTATTTAATATCTGCATGCCTCACCGAGTCATCACTATTCCCAGTAGCGATAATTCTATCAAATTCTTAAATGTGAAAAGGGGCCTCAGTTCGATACAAACGACGTTCGGGGTTGTCGGCTTCGCTGATATATGAAAGCAAATCTATACGAGCCCCATAGAACTTAAATCAAAAATCAGTTTGTTTAAATCAAAGAAACTTATTAGGAATGTACAACACTCTTGGAGAGTTTTGGCTAAGTTATGGCTACAGCAGCCCATGGACACCTGCAGCCGACTTCAAATACAGAAAACTACAGATAAGTATTCACCTCAGCAGACTAAGACGGAATGCCTCGCAGCCTGTAACTATATTGGTTTTCTATACTCATCAGACTGGCAGTGTACGCACTGCTCTTTGTCGGTAGATATAGGTAAAAGGGTGAGAAGCTCCTAAGCAGAAAGTAGTCCTACCACCTCGAATACTTATGTGTCTCTTTCGGATCGAACATGTATATGTTACCACTTCTTCTTCTTTCTTCTTTAACGGTTTGCAAATGTCAGTTTCACATTCTCATGATTTTAACTTTTGAGATTATATATAACATACTTTAGAAGTAGAGAAGATTTCAGTAAGCCGCGTCTTTTAAAATTCATTAAAAGTAAGCTTAATGACGCAGCGAGAAAATATTAAAAAAGAAACACGTAGTGATATAGTTTTAAAACTGTATAGAAAAAATCTTGTAGCATCCTTTGATGTAATGCCTTTGCTATTGAATTACTTAAAGATAAAAAGTATCTCCGGATGAACAGCTGATCTAAGTGTCAAATATCTCTTTAAGAAAGATAATAAATTAAAAAACACTTTTGACACGCTATGTGCTATAACTCTGTTGTTAATAGGTTGGTATACAAAATATTTTATTTCAAAAAATGGTTTATAGACCAGGGTCAATAATTTTAGAAACGAAAAAAAATTAAAGTAGGATGAAATCCATTGGAAAAGGAAGGGAATACCACTAAAATGAAAGGAAAAATAAACTACGGGCGATCTGAGGTTGGGAAGGGGTGGGGGGTGAGTTTTAAGGGTAAAAATCGGTAAACGTTTTTTCGATAGGACTTGTAGTTTTGCCGGAAATCGAGATTTACCGATTTTTACCCTTAAAAACTCACCCCCACCCCTTCCCAACCTCAGATCGCCCGTAATTTATTTTTCCTTTCATTTTAGTGGTATTCCCTTCCTTTTTCAATAGGTTTCGTCCTACTTTAATTTTTTTTCGTTTTTAATTATTTTTGACGGCTTCGACCCCTGTCTATTAGGACTTCATTGTGTTCTAGCTTTTCTCTTTATTAGCTCGTAAAAGTCTTCTGCTGAATATGGGTCTCACCCACTAATAGATCGGTTGTTGAATTTGGCTCGACAGTCGCAGTAATAGACGTCTATTGGGGACCATTTACATGTTGCAAATTTCTTGCCTGTTGCATACAATTAAATTGAAGCAATTAGTGACTTGCATTATCTAAACAACACGTAACATTCTTGATCCATTGGATAAGTTTCGATTCAAAACTTTTCTTGGTGTAAACAGCACATTCAAGGGATTTTCCCTTAATTTGCAAACATGAGTGCAGAGTATGTATTGATTGTTGCGGTTGTTCTAAAACAAGAAATATTGAGATAACATCGTAAATAAAAGATGTTTGATTAAAAAATGGACAACGAGAAGGGGGGTTCTCGGAGCAATCTTTATATAGAGTTACAAACAGAAAGCGAAGACGGTTTTAAGGGCACGTTTTGTGTGAACAGAAACCAGTTTTGTAATTTGTTAGGTAAAGTTTATTATTCTATACAAAGGATAAATACAATAATGCGTATTGCATATTAGGATATTGATTAATTTGCAACCTTCCGCTAACTAAATACAATGATGTGTCTTACCTGGATTGAAGATCGTAATATTATTACTGCTCGAATGAAAGTAGAACCAGAACTCTACAGAACTAGAACTAGAATGAACTTCACTTCAGATTTCTGATTCAGATTTTCAGATTTCAACTGAACTTCAGATTCCTGTGCAAATGCTTGATTCTTGTAATTTACGTTTTTAGTATCCCATAAACACTCATGACTTCGATAAATCTCAATGAACTTCATTAAATCAGCAGAACCGAATTTTGACAGTTTTTGACTCATTTTTTTATACATATTTTCCTTCCAAAACGTTCAAATCTGGAATAAAACATTCGCCAATAGAAATACGTGCAATACACGTAACACGACAAAATTGGTACAATGCTGTACAAGGCTGTGTTTAGATGAGTCAAAACTTGAAAGCAATTATATCCTAAATATAATTGCCTTGCTGTAAACAAAAGACACTCACAAATATTTCTTGTCAAGATGCATGCAATGATCCGCGAGTAAACAGTTG